CACTGTCATGGCCTATGACCGCTACGTGGCCATCTGCCAACCCCTGCACTACGGGACCCTCCTGGGCAACAGAGCTTGTGCCCACATGGCAGCAGCTGCCTGGGCCAGTGGGTTTCTCAATGCTCTCCTGCACACGGTCAATACATTTTCAGTGTCCCTCTGCCAGGGCAATGCTGTGGGACAGTTCTCCTGTGAAATCCCACACATCCTCAAGCTCTCCTGCTCACACACAGACTACCTCAGGGAAGCTGGGCTTCTTGTGGTTAGTGTCTGTTTAGCATTCGGATGTTTTGTTTTCATGTTGGTGTCCTATGTTTGGATCTTCAGGGCTGTGCTGAGGATCCCCTGGCAACAGGGACGGCACAAAGCCATCTCCACATGTCTCCCTCACCTGGCCGTGGTCTCCCTGTTTCTCAGCTCTGGTTTCCTTGCCTACCTGAAGCCCCCCTCCATGTCCTCCCCATCCCTAGACCTGGTTGTGTCAGTTTTGTACTCGATAGTGCCTCCAGCAGTGAACCCCCTCATCTACAGCCTGAGGAACCAGGAGCTCAAGGACGGCATTAGGAAAGTGATTTCAGGGGTATTTCTCATTAAGAATAATCTTCCTTTTGCGCACAACAAATGACTCTTGTGGTTTCCCTTTGCAGGCCTGTACTTACTTTATCATTAGCATTTACATTATTTTCATTTGCAATTATTTTCATTGTTACCTCTTGGTTCTCTCTTACTAAATAAATGTCTGCACTTACCTCACTTCTCCAGATGAATGATCCTGCTCTGTCTCATATTTCAACCTTGTAAAAATGTGTCCAACACTTCACTTAGACATAACATGGCACTGAGGGAGAAGATATGAGGGGGAAGGAGGGACCCTGGCTGGGCAGAAAGGGTGTTTCTGCTGTTGAAAAACTGTTGTGTGATACAGGGATGCTGAGAACTCTGTATAACCATTACAACAATTGCAGAAGGTCCCTTTGAATGAGGACATCAAAGCAGCATTTACCTGAAAGGGAAGGAATCTCGCTTTCACGTTATCACTCTTAATTTTTTTGATTTGGTGAGGAAGAGGAAATTGGAATCTATTTCTCTGTTCTTTTCAGGCAGCAAGACTTGAGCCCTCATTAGCCCTTGCCTGAGCTGCTACTCATGCCCTGCCCCTCCCTGAGCTGCCAGGAGGGGTCTGTAGGGCACAGCTGAGCCCCCAGCAGAGGGCACGGACTCTGGGAGCAGGGACAGAGAGGAGACCTGGGCACAGAGGAGCAGCTCCTGACAGGGACAGCTCCAGGCAGCAGAGCCAGAGGCAGGGGCTGAGGGGAAACTGCAAATCAGTCCTGGAGGAGAGTGTTTTTTAAAGAGAAATTTATGTGTGAAGTCATCTTTGAGGCAGCTCAAGGGAAAGCACAGGGGAGTAATTGTGATGGACAATGCAGCTCTCCTGTCTGCACTGAGCCACAGAGAGCTGTCCTATCCCAAAACCTTTCACATTTTCACTCATCCAAAAAGTTAATTCTCCCTCTAAAATAACACTCACTGAAAGAGATGGTAAAAAATTTGAAAACACAGATAAAGTTGTTATAAAGTTATGCTAAACCTCTGTGCAGCCCGTGTTCTTCCACATAACGATTACAGGTACCAAATTGTTCTGTTAAAAGTGAATTACATCTGACATCCACTGGGAATGCTGAAGCTGTCACAAAGCATCTTCATGTTCCATGTACCCACGGCACAGAGCAAAGCTGACTGCTCAACAGCACGTGGGCAGAGGTCCTGATACTCACAGCACACTCAGACAGCACGAAACAGAGGAAGAAAATACATTTTAGCCTCTACAAAAAATGGACTGGTTTTGTTCGCAGTCTTAATTTTAACCTTTGCTTTCCT